CATATTGGCAGACAATCTTAACCTCATTGTGGGGTGAGTCATTAACCACGAGAGGAAGGAGGAGTGAATTAACGCAGCAGTGACATCAAAGCAACAATAACAACAATAACAATTGTAAAGTTTGTTTTTTCTCTTCTTTGAAAACAGTAAGGTCAATTCAAATGAGACAATACATCAAATCTTCCAGTTTCACTCTGTGCAGTGAGGAATAAAGAGAATTTGAGAGGTTTGAGTTAGCCCTGCAAAACAAGAAGATGTCCATGAGCACTGGGATGGATCTGCCCCAGCAGCCACTGAGAGGTATGCAGGCAGCCCCATCAGAGCATGGCCTCAGGGGCTCTGTGTGGTGCTGTGCATCCCAAATCCCAACCTGGGGAAGAGGATAGGGACTGGCACAGACATATGGTAACAGGGGTGACCTACTGGCATTAATAAAAACAAACATTGCTAAGCTCTCCACTTGGAGGGGGGAGGACAGGGCTGTGTGCTTTCAGTTCAGGTTCAGTTTGTGACTTACTTGTTCTGAGTTTTTAAATTATCCCTTTTAGCAAATCTCAGCAGAGGGCAGTTTTAAACAAAAAGAAAGAAAAAAAATAATTTGGAAAGCAGACTTTAGCTTCATTTACAACAATTTCTAGGGCTGTTTCATACAATAGGGCCACCACACACCTACAAGGTCCTCCCCATCTCTGGAGTTCTCAAGGCCAGGTTCCACAGGGCTTGGAGCATCCTGGTCTAGTAGCAAGTGTTCCTGCCCATGGTGGGTGGTTGGGACTAGATGGTATTTCAGTCCCTTCCAACCCAAACCACTCTGTAATTCAGTAAGACAAAAAATCCAGTCTGGAGCTTAAATACAACTTCAGGTATAGCCTGAATACCGGCTATATAGCCACCCTGCCTCAGTTACTCCCAGAAAGGATTATCTCTTTCAAGACCTGCTGGAAAAACAACAGGGTCCCAGGATGCTCTGATCATAAAATTCAAAACAGGGAGAAGATGATAAAAAAAATTACCTAACGGCAAGAAACATGTGAAATACTATGAGATCCTGCTGCTCTCTGGACCAACCCCAATTCCTGCTATAGATTTATCTCATGGAAGCCATTCAACAAGTCAGGACTGCCAGGACAGAAATATGGACCTAAAGAAAAAAAATGACAGGGAAAGAAAACAGTGGCTGAAGGGGAATTTGGGAGAGCCAATCTCCAAACAAGTCCTGAGGGCTCTTATAAGGCTCTCCTGAAAGGTGCACAGCTGTATCCCACATCCAGCCCCCTGGGTTTCAGGGATTGCCTTGCCTGTTGACCAGCTGATGCTGTGTTTCTGCTTCAGTTAACACTGATACCAAAGCTGTGAGGTTCCTGTGACAATTCGGTGATTTATCCTGGTGCTCATCAGCTGAGGGCTCCTGAGGACCTCGCAGCAGGCTGTGACAGGGAGCCATGGACAGGAAGGGCTCTGGGCAGGCCCTGCAAACCAGCCAGTGAACACACTGGGAATTTTGCTATTGTGGGCATTTAGGGCATGAATTATGCACAGCCTTTAACACAGATGATGATGTCTGATGCAACAGGGACTTTGGACTTAGCACATAAAAACCTTTTTCATAAATTGCTCAGTCCCCCTTCTTGCAAAGTCGTTACAACTCCAAGGTGTAAGAGAACAGCATAAAATTCACACTGATCCCTTCAATTCTTTTTTAAGCATCTTTAAATCCAGCTTTTTTTTCCTGCTATACATCTTACTTTTTATAGTTAAAAGTAATTTTGAAGCAAAAAAGAACATAAACAATATACACTGACTCTTGACACTCCATTGCTTTTTTAAACTAGAATAATAAAAATTTGCAAATGAACAAAAGAGTGGGAGGAAGATATCTGATTTACAATGTTTTTGAGATAAAGAACACTATAAAAAAAGATCAATGTGAATAATAAAGCATTGTTAACTGAGTCATGACATTTCTATTCTCAGTGAAGATTTGAACAGTAGAGCTCTGCAAATGAGCACCTTGTGCCATTTTCAAAGTGGGAGGAAGACATATAATTATAATTTTTAAAGTGAAGAGAATTTAAAAAAAAAATCCCTGTGAAAAAGTTTATTGAAAAACATATCGACATATCAATATGACATAAATTACTTTAATTTTATTAAACTGGGGGTGGGGGGGAACCTCTTTTTGAAGACTGGCTGCAGAAAGCATTCCTTGAAAAGAATTTTCTTTATTAAAAACTCTTTGCTAAGATGAAACAGCACTGAATGTCAGCACTACCGTATATTTATTCTGTAACTCTTCCAACAGCCGAGATCTATAAAAGAAACATATTTTCAAAACAGTTTTAACCTCCATTGTCTTGATCATTCGTATTAACATTTTTCATGTCACCTATTGAAATCCCTTAAAGGAACCTTTTATTCAGTCAAAGTTAATGAAGCCGTTTTCTTAAACAGCCTCCAAAAAGTAAAAAGGACGTAATGTTGTGCATTTTATTTGACATACGTTTTCTGCCATTTCACTTATTTGTGTGATGAGAGCAATACTTCATATTTATGCTATCAAGTCTGCAGAGAAAAGTGATTTTGAGAGAGAAGAAAACCAACTCTGCTCTTGCTGTGTGTGCAATTTAAATCCACAGCGAAAATACAGCATTGATCAGATTACTCCAATTGAGTCATTTAGTGCTTTGGCATTCCTGAAGTTAGGGCCCAGCTGTGAAATCATAGTTGGGGCCAAACATTGCTGTTAGGTGAGTGCACATGGCTCCCATTTTCTTCAAAGGGAATGACACACATGGCCAATATTTAGCTTTCACCTCTTCCATTCTTTAGCTAGCAAAGCCAGAACCAGTGGAGTATATGCAGGCAATTTAACCGAATTAAGAATACAATCAAGATTTTCCAGGACTTACTAGTGATTTGGGATATATAATTCAATACACATCAAAACACAGATGCTCAGCATATTCTGAAAATCAGGCCATCTCGAATGTCTTGCTTTAAGCAGGTAAAATCATAAATTACTCTGAGTATTTTGGCCATTGGATCCTAACAAACTGGGTGTAATACACTTCTTCAAAATTATAAACTCCAATTTCTGGCTTGGATAGGATGCCTGGGAGAATTACAACATCCCAACCCATTTTTGTTCCTGTGTTGGCACACGGTTCTCCCCTGCCATTACCATTAGAGGACTTGAACACAGTGCAGGTGCCCTTCTGCAGCAGGTGACCCCTAGGGAAAATCCAGGTCCTGGCTCTGCTGTACCCCTTGGGATGCACTGAGCTGCTGTGATAGCCCACAAGACCTTATAGCTAAATGCCATGGAGAAAAAAAAGGATACATCCCAAAAATCTAGCTGCCCCATGCTGCATGCAGATCTTCATTTCAACTCAAGGTCAAGTGGAAAACTTTTCTACCATCCTTGCTGACTCTCCTCTTCACTTTCTCCTGACTCCATCTGTTCCTCACCCATCTCCTTCGTTCCGCACTCGCCTCCCTCTTCTTCCTGTGTCCATCTGTTCCCTCCTTCCTCGACACAAGTTGGGGAAGGGAAGTAAATTCAGTCATTCACTGAACAGATTTCAAGATGAACCCCCTCCCTTTCCAGTTCTAACTTCATTCATCATGGTAAAAATTATAATGAATAGAAATGTTGAAGGTGAAAATTTATTAGGGATTGTGTTGCTTTCTTATATGAAAAGCAGTTAAAGCGGCATATAAACATTGGCTTCATTCATTTTTTCTTAATATATGGCATAATTAGTGAGAAATATTAGTGGAAGTGCTTGCTATGCAGTCCATCAACACATGCCTGTCAGAGCTTAGGATCTGGGCCAAAAGTTTTTGCCAGTCCTGTGATAGATTTACAATAAGCCTATAGAAGGCTTTACAGTTAGCTGGGTCACTAATTCATGAAGTTACAATGTATGCAATGAGGTCAAAAATTCACTATTGATAAAATACCCCCTCCCGGGATTGCACCATTAGCTTTGTTACTGCAACAGCAAAATAAAGTAAACCCAAAGCTCCTGTGAATTACCAGTCCATCATCGTAAATCAGTAGTGAAGTACTTGCACGAGTTCATGATGTCATCTGAAGCCCGGGATATATTTATAGCCTTGTGTACTATTTCCTGTTTCCTCATGACAAAAATAAACAGTCTCCAAATCCCCTGCATCCTTCTGCCTGAGCTCAGCAAAATGTAATGGGCACGAATCTCTGAAAGCCCCTGTGATATATTGGTCTGGAGCAGCTCCCTTCGATGGGCCACGGCGCCCGTGCTCCCTCCGGCCTCTCCCATGTGGGCAACAGCAGTTCCCATGGAGTTTGCTCCATCTGCTGCACTCACTGCTGGGGTAGTCCCACACCCCCTCCTGCTTCGTCTCCCTGACACATGGAGAGAGAAGGAAAGGAGATTTAAGTCTCCAAGCCTTAGGCATGGAGTGAACAGCCTTGCAGGCCCATCTGAGGTGGAGGAGCTCAGCATTGTTCCGTGTGGGGACCTGGGCTTGTTACCACAGGGACCTTGGGCATCTTGTCCACCAAGACTGACAAGCCATGAAGCTTGGAGTTTGGGCTTAAATTTCCTCTCTCTTCCCTTACTCAAGATCTGGGATATCCTCATTTAAGGTTTCTGAGGTGTTTGAGCATGGATGATGCCCCACATTTCAACTCAGACCTCCCAGCTCTCAAATTTTCTGTACCTAACTGAATTGCTGTGTTTGCTGGTGATTCTCTTCACCTCTTCTTGGGTGAAATTTTCTGTCTTGGCAGCTTATTTTTTGCTTCCTTTCCTGAAACAAGACAGAGGGTAACACAAACAGCACACCATGCCATGTAACCTCCTTCTGCAAGGAAGCAGATTTGCTTCTGTTTGACCTCAGACCAACAACTCATGAAGTCAATGACTGTCACTAAGTGGCTGTGAGTAACAGCTGTGCCAAACCACATTCATTTGACACTTATCCCTCTTCAATTTTGTTTTCTTTTCTCCACCAAGACCGTCGCACCAGCTCCCTGCCTCTACTGGCCCTCCCTGGAGTGACACCGAGCAGTGAGGACCATCCAGGTAAGCTGCTGTCCCCATGTATGCAGAGTTACTCCCTCCCTGGCAGGCCATTATATCCATTAAATAATCAAGAAAAAGTGTTTGGTTTTTATTTGGCTTTTGCCTTTTTGAAGCACTGCTGTCAAACCCTGAGGTCTGGGTTTCTCCATTCTATGAGAGCCAGTGTGTTCAGACCAAGCCTTCATACGTACAAGTTTTCACCCATCAGGTCTGATGTAGCTCTGCCTGTGTCATCTGGGGACTGAATGGACATGGCACACAGCTCTTTCAGTGATGAGCATGTGCTACATTAAACAGACAGGTAGCGACAGCAGGGCACGGGGTAATGAATGCTGCGCTGATACACCAACATGCCTCAGGGGAAAATTAAAAAGTTACAGGTCCTAAACTGCTACAGTTTTCCACACAGTTTAGCATTAACCCTTGGGACTCCTTGCTACAGGGGCATGAGACAAAGGGCCACTGCCAGGATGGATTTGGAATAAATGCCAGCACTGAGTAGAGCCACAGGCTCCCTCGTCCTTTGCTTGTAAGATGTGGATGAGCCCTAGGAGGGTCAGAGATCAATTCTCCCTCTCCTTCAGTGGAGCCTCCTCCTAAACAGCTGCTCTGAGAGCTGCTTGGATTACCTGCATTGCTGCAGTCCCTGTTCAGCAGAACAGAGCACCTCTTAAACCGCATGTCCTTTATCAAAAATAGACTTAGAGCCCTTGTATACCTCTATAGTAAATCTAATTTCAGAAGCATGCAGGGAAACTGCAGACTCCTCTTCTCCAGGGCTGCAAGATGCTAGTTTGTGCCTAAAGCCAATGAAGAGAAATAGAGGTCAGGGGACATACTGCAAATGCCAGTCTTGGTATCACTGCTCTTCCCTATTAACCAGAGGGATCTGGGGCTGGCCTCAGTGGAAAATAAGTGATTTACTTTGTGCTTTCATGAATTTAGACACTTGTAGTCAGCCATCTGAATCGCCCAACTCCAAAAAGAAAAAGAAAAAAGAAATTCCAAGTGAGTATTGAGACTATCTTTAATACAAACATGGGTGAACAATCCCAGTGTTCTACTGCAACAGCCAAGGCAAGTCCCAGCTTCCCCATGTGAGGAAGAAAGTTGCTACTTCATACTACTTAAAAATGGCACATTGTGGGGGTGTACCTTTAGCAGCCTCTGCCTAACAGTCTAACACTGAATAATCTGAGATTTCTTCATCATGATACACTTATTTTTCCCTTTAAGTTCACTTCAGTGGTTGATTTCTATACGTTAAAAACACAGACATATGTGGGCATTTGAAGCTGAACACAGACTCTTAAAAGAGAGTTGCAAAGTTTGACCCTCTTCCCATCTCTAATTGTAATTTGGGGATTTTTATATTCTCATTTAACAGTAATCATAATTAGTATCAGTGGTATGTAATATATTTTTAAAACTTATTTGGCTACATCTATTTGTTCCAAACTCTCAACCTACTACTGTTCTATCCAGCAACAAACTATAATAGAAAAAAAAAAAAGTGCTAACCACCTTTTTATTTCTGCTGGTCTAGCACAATCTTTATTTCTTCAGACACTTTGTGCAAACATTAAATTGATAAAAGACATAATGTAGATGGACCCACAGCTGAACTGAAGGTAATTGCATAAAAATGAAATGGAGACCTATAATTGTACACTGCTTTAGCCTCTCCTGCAGTGTTTTCTGGAAGCAAGGATCTCGCTTGTCATAGCAAGTTGCTTGTTACAGTGATTGCATGAAGACTTGATCTAGCTGTACAAGACAAGTATAACATTACTGAAAGGGAGCTTTTCAAACTAAAAGTCTGACACTAAAATGTACTGTATTTTCCAAGATGTAGTATGCTTTAACAAACAGAAGAGTCCCTGAGTGACAGCTTTTGTTACCCTTTTGTTTGATGGTGCTGTATTGAAAAATTCAGGTTATGTCTATGCCTTTCTATTTCTGGTTTTGATTTCTCTTCAACAGCACTTCAAGAATAAAAATTGACTCCAAGTATGAATAGTAGAAGTTGGTGGATACAGTAAATGTCAGTCTGGCATTTACTGATTACTTCTGTCAGACTTTTTTTCAGTCTCGCCTCTTGAATGCTTAAATCCATTCCGTGGGCCATTGTATTGTTGCGGAATTGGGGAACTCAACAAATATATCATGGATTAAAACATATCTAGTTTAGAATTTTGGGCAGATTTTGAAAGTGGAAAATAATAGTTATTCTTGCCTAAGCCTTTTGATCTGATCCATGTGTATCCAAAGGCTCAGCCTGGGTGTAGCTCTCAGGGTGAGCAAACAGGACCCATTTGTGATATTGGCACCTGGCTAACAGGTAGGGCTTGTGTCTTTTGGACTCACAAAACAATTGCTATCCAATAAATCTAATGCCTAAGAGGGTCATTGCTTCCTCCTGAGCTCTGCTGCTTTAATCAGCACTTTTCCTGGAGATGGTTTGTTATTGAATGAAAGTGCAGGCAAACCTGTGGAATGTCATTGATTTACAGACACTGGAAAACAGTCATGAAAGGACATCCAAAATACATGAGTTTTCACATTATGGACTGAAGAGGCTGGCCAAGAAGTCAGAAAAGAGTGGGGGAAAAGCTGTATTTGCTTACTCTGAGGGGAAAACCATCAACAACTCATCACAGATGGGCAAACCCAGACATGCATAGCCTCGGATGCTGATTTTATATGACCAAGGGTACAAGCTCAGGGGAGAACTGTTGTGCTTTACACTGCTGGGTCACACCCAGTGGTGCCACTGCCTCTCCTGCCCTTCTCATCTTGCCTGTGGCTTTCCTTCACCATAATGCTCACAAAACCTGACAGTTATAGGTTTCTGAGCCGCCTCTCTGTGCCACTGCTCTCTTGCTTCCTCCACCCTATCTTTCACTCCCTGCCCAAGGCCAAGTCTCCTGGACAGGGAAATTCACATTTCCATCACAGTAGACTTTGTTGTCATTATGACTTCAAAATCAAGAAGTCAGTTACCTCTGCCAACACACAATTTCAAAGCAGTGATTTAAAATGAAAATGATAGCCTAGTTTTTATACTTATCTTATCCCAAGATCTTACTCTACTAACTTCTACCCAGCTTTTCTGCTTCTAAGTATTTCACTAGGTAAAAATGACCAAAAATGGCTAGAAACATGTCTAGAAATTTAAATTACTTGCTCACTCATTCTGTAAGTAAATGGAATCACATAAATCATAGGAAAATTAGCTTGGAAGGGACTCTAGAATCACCTCGTTTGGCCTCTGTCAGAAACCCAGAGTAAGAGCAGGTTGCTGGGGTCCATGCCCAGCTGAGCTCTTCACACAAACATAGCCTTGCTGTGGTCTGTTCTGGTGCTTTACACATCCCATGATGAGGAATTCATTCCCTGGACAGTTCCAGTTGCCTTTGCTGCAGCTTCTGACAGTGCCCTCTCCTCGTTTTCCATCTGTGCCCTGCTGGGAGGAGTTGGGGTCTGGCTTCTCAGTTTCCCTGGCTCTGGAGGGGTACAAGGCATCAAGAACTGTTCTTTGCCTTCTCCTCCATGCCAACCAAAGACAGCTCCCCCAGCCTCTGCTCACACAGAAGGTCTTCCAGACCCCTCACCAACTCAGTGGCCTTCACTGGACTTGAGCAAGATACCACTTATCTCTCAAATCCTTGCTTCCCCCCTCTTCAAGCCTTATGGTTGCGCTGGTTTTTCACTTACCCTGCAATCCATCCATCCCATCCACATTTCCTCCTCTCTCTGCAAGGATAGTGGGGGATCAGCTGCAGTCTCATCAAGGTTTCACTCTCTGTCAGCATTTCCTTGGCTTTTCTTCAACATGTGTCAGAGGTCAAAGGTGCCTAAAAACCAAGAGACATGCGGGGCCTCTCTTCAGACTCCTTGCAGGCAAGTGCAGACGAACCACTTCAGAGCACTCACTGTTCCTCTCAGAAAGTAGCATTTGCAAAACTGAGGTGTTTGTAAAGATTGATTTTCTGTATATAGCTCAAGAGCAAGCATATCACAAGATTTAAGTGAGATAAAAAGTGAGACTGTGCTTGATCTGAGGTGCAGGAGTTAATCAGCTGTAGATAAGAACTGATGAGGTTTTATCATCCCCGCCATGGAGAGAATGACTGTGTTTCTTGGCCACTTGATCACTTCAGAGATCGAGTGAAACTATATATCAACCCATGTTTATCTGTGCCTGAGGAGTTCTTCGAGAATAAATTGAACTCAGAACTCTTCTTAACCTTTCCCCTAGTTGGGGCTTAAAATTAAGCTCTCCCTCTGGTTTTTGAGCTGCCTCTCTGGCATGCCGACAGCATGTGAAGTATCCCATCTCCTAGTTGACTTCCAGGCCAACAATGCAAGTGGGGATGAAGTTATGAAATAAAAGGAATCTGGATGCTAAGCAGAGACCATCTGGCTGTCTTTGCTACAAGATTATGAGCCACGGTGAGCTGGCACACCTGCATCCAGGTACCACCTACAGGCATGTTGTTGGCTGTTAATTTAGGGCAATGAAGTTGCAGCTGATAAATAACAAGATAATTGTTTTGCCTTCTTTTATGTCACAAATTGAAGTTAGGATATCAAACTCTAAATAGATGTCAGCCAAGGCAATAGTTCTGCTTTCTTTCCAAACCTGATCCCACCCACTGGAAGTGAATTATTACTTAGCCTCTAAGTCCTCTGGGTTTAAGAGAAAGCCTTAGAAGGCAAGTTCACAAATACCTTTACTATGAATAAACCTCTGCAAAGAGACAGAAATCATTAGGTGAGAAGGGTTAGGCCTTGGAAGTAAACAACTGTAGGTTTGAAAATTCTGCATATGTTATTCTCTCAGATCTCTGCCTTGGTATCACAGTCTTTTTTTTTCCTAATCCCACCAGATAACCAGCTTACAAATGAAAAACACACAGATGAAAAGCCAATGAAAGGTATTGTTATGAGTTCTGTCGCAGAATTCAGCATCACAGACGCTTCATCAAAGGGTACCAAAAATGAGAAGAAATTGTCAGATGCAAGCAGATCATCCATTGCTTCCCTGGAGAAATGCAGAGAATTCACTTACATTGAAGATGATGCATCAGTACATCAGAGAGACAGTGACGGTATGTTTTATAAAACAGATCACATTTGAGCTGATTTCTAAATAATGCCCACTGCAAAAGAACTATGTATAACCAACTCGAAATTAAATGTTGAACAGGAGGTTCAAGAACATCGCCAAAAGCAATGTTAAGTTGCCCTGAAGACATTTGTGTGATAGATGAGAATTTCTAGATGATGATCTTAAATTGTCAGTGATACTAAAGTCATAGAAGAGGAGCTTAGAGCTTATTGTGCCACAGAGCATTTGTACTTTAGTAATGAGAGTTTGCACAGAGACACCAGTGTCAGTATCAGATAAATCTATTCTTGGTTATTCCAGTGGATGTTAAAAAAAGGCTCTGTGAAGTATTTCAGAAGTTTCTTTTGAGTGCCTTTTGCAATAATGGATTAGCCTGTTATATCCAATGGAGCTGGGATCTGTCGTGCATATCATTTAACAATTCCTAAATTAAGCATTTCTAAATACAGATCAACACAATAAAGTGCCCTGTTCTCCAAGAATCATTAACATCTCTATTGTGTCACAGATCCTTACAAAAGGGATGTCTATGATACATCTATTGGAATATGCTCAATTTCAGAGAAGGATTTGAAGTATTTATTTTATTTAGGGGACTTGGCCTCTTGTCCAGACACTCCCTATTTTGAGTCTGAGGTCTAGCTCAACCACTACTGGCACACAGGTGTGTACCATGTGATGCAAATAACAGATTTCATCCTCCTTAAAAAAGCTAAATGTGAAGGAAATTAACAACAACAAAAAAACCCCAATCTGTGCTTAATTAATAATGTTAAGGTCTGGACAGAAGCCAAGAAAACCAAAGGAAGACAGATTTGTGGTTGTCATTGCGTACTCCGCTCACTCCACTCTGACAACTTACTGCTTATTCTACATACACAAGGCCAAATCCTGTTTGCTGGTGCTTGGAGAACCTCTGAAGGCAAAGAAATAGATTAGAAAATTGGTGATTATTTTGTTCCCTGTGCTCAGACAAGAGCAAATACAACACTCATAGGTCTCACAAAGGATGACCAGAAAGGCTTCAGCAAGCTTTGGACCAGGGTTGTTCAGAGCATCATCTGTGTGAGCAGATGCCACCAAACAAGAGCAGGAAAACTTAGAGATGACACACGCTAGAAAAATTATTATAAATTCTTCTTTTGTGCTAATTAATCTAGCAATGTAGAGAACAAGAGCTGAGGTCATTGTTCTCACTGAGATAAACGCAGTAATGCCGTTTGGCAAACAGCAGGGAAAACAGAGGGGAAAACAAGAGATTGCATCTTCTTTTATGCAGTTTGTGGCTAATTTATTTTCAAATATATAAATGAATGCATAGGAATGGATGTCTAATTGCTAATATCTATTATTTATATACATTACCCCACTTAAAACAGGACCAAAAAGCCTCACACATGCAGATTTTTTGAAATGTGTTACATCCATTATCACAGTTCATGGTGTGTGCTCTGATGGGAATTTAAAAGCATCTTTACTGCACATCACAGAGTCTGTGCTGAAACATTACTTTATTATTAAAATCTTGTGCTTTTTGTGTGCTCTCTTTCCTGGATGAAGCCCTAAGAATTGTATCTATTCTCTCCAGATTACACAAGCATCATTATGGTAACACATTCAGGAAAAAAACCTGTTATTAAAAAAATGGATCTTTGGAGAGGGAGAAAAAAATTGCCAAATCCTTAATTGAGACATAACTTTGAATTCTGTCTCTCACATCTATGTATAGGAAAGAAATTTCATAAACATAAGTAATCTAAAAAGAATAGTCTTAATTACACCAAGAACTACTGGATAAAATGATTACATTTTCTACAGTGTAAATTTCATACAATTAAATACAGTGGTGTCACCTTATTAACTGTTTCAATTTTATAATTATTTCAGTTCATTTAGCTAGGAAAAAATATAAGCATGAACTTACTGAGTATCACCAAAACCTAGTCATTCTTATTTTACAGAACTGACTTAGAAGTTAGTTGTGCTTGTCTGAACCTAAATAGATCTTGACATATTTAAATAAGTATTAAAATTGATAACATTGGTGATGATATGCCATTTAGAAAGAAGTTCAGTCATATGCTATTTGTTCTTGCTACCTTGCCTTTTTAATAAAGAAGCTGGAATGATTTTTTTTTTTAATTTTGTTTTTTCATCAAGAAAGCTTTCTAAAAAAAAAAAAGCATAATTCTGGAAACTTCCTGGCAGTGAACTTCATGTTACGTGAGCTAGAAAATGCCACAACAGAACCAATGCAGTTGAATGAGTTCACAGTTACTCATCCTAGGGCAAGAAATGTGGTTATAACCATATGCTTTCCTGAAAGAACCAATGAAAAGACATTCATATTGTTGAAGGCATTTTTCCTTTCCAAAAACAAGAAGGAAAAAAAAAAAAAAAAAGGGAAAAAAAAAAGGAAAGGTCTGGGTCTGTGCTCCAAGTGGATTCACACAGTTGGAATCTCACACCTGCTGCACCCAAGAAGTCTCCCCAGATGCTGGAGGCTGAGGGATGAGGAGTTAATTAGTTGATTTTGGGAGGGCACAAACATAGCACAGAGTTTTAGTCATGGTGAGAAAATTTTCAGGAATATTTACTGCCTCCAAACACACATCCTACATAATCTGTTTTCCAAACTTTTGTCTCCTTTGAAAAATTGACATTTGTGAACAAAAAGGTGAGAACCCTGTTTGGTGGGGAGTTGGGAGGACCATGAGCTGAGACACACTCCCCTCTCTGAATGCTCTTCCCCAGACCTGCTCTCCCTCCCTGTCTTTGGCAGGCTTTAAACATTTTTAGTGCAAACACTTGTGAAAATGAAAATAAACTCCAGTGTCACCTGTCATGGTTTACTCAGCCCCACAGAACCCCCCACTCACTGCCTCACTGCAGAATGGGAGTACCAGAAGGATAAAAGGAAGAAAACTCATGGGATAGATAAATACAGTGTAATAGGATAATGTAGTGTTTTTACATGGGAGAAAGAAAATAATAATAATAATAATAATAATAATAATAATAATAATAATACAGGACAATGTAGTGTTTTTACATGGGAGGAGAAAATAATAATAATAACAATAATAATAATAATAATAATAAATACAAAACAAGGGATACAAATTGCAATTGCTTACCATTCACCAACTGATGCCCAGTTAGTTATCTGAGCAGAAACTTCTGCTTGTTTTCTGCCTAATTTATATTGATGCCATATAGTCTGGACTATCTTTCCAGCCAGCTGGGGTCAGCTGTCCTGCCTGTGTCCCCTCCCAGCTTCTCGTGCCTCTTCAGCATCCTTGCTGTCCAGGCATGAGAAGATAAAATTTGGTTTAAGGGGTTTGTTCTTCTGGATTTCACTGCCACAGAATGTCTCCATTCAAATTCTTTTCATACAGCTGCTGTTTTCCCAGAGCAATTAAAGTAGAAAATAAACTTTTCACTTGTCTCTATGGAAGTCATTGTCATCAATGTATTTTCAGCCCAGCCCCTCAGCTCTGTGTAGCCACCTGGGTAATCCCAGCTCACACTTGTTCTTACGTCTCCCTGCTTTTCCTTTCTCTTAGATGAATGCGCAACACTTATCCTGGCCTGCTTGTTCTGCCAGTTTTGGGACTTTCTTATAATGCTGCCTGATACCTGTGAACATTGGCTGACAGATACCTGTTGTCCATCCAATAGATATTACCAGACCTCCGACGAAGACCACGGCAACAACGACTGCAACTGCGACTGTGACATTGATTGCAGCCTCTTTGAGTCCTGCCACGAGACTGGGGAGTGCCTGGAGCTCGCCATGGAGATTTCAGAAGTCTGCTATCGCTGATAGGAAAATAACTGACAAAATCCCTCAAAACTACCCAACAGATTACGAAGGAGATTTTTTTTTTTTAATATTAATCATTACCAGAGGTTTTGTCAATGAGGACTATGTGCATCTTGTTGCTGCCTCCCTGGAGGTCTCTATATCTGTACTGCTCTGGTGGCATGATATCACAAACTGCTGAAACCAATAAAGGACAAAAAGGGGTCTTCTCTGCCATAGAAAAATGAAAAAAACAGAATTCCTAAGTGCCAAGTGTGCTAGCTGCTTTACCCACTGTCAATCCAAGCTTTTATAAACCTTTAATTGCTTTAAACACTGATTTCGCCATTCATAAGCACAGAACAAATTAGGACGTTATTTTAGGACTGATATATATATATATATATATATATATATATGTTCATCTTCCTAATGGATTCATACCTAAACATGTGTTACACATTGTTGGTTATTATAAATAATTTATGATATAGCATCATTTTATAATTAAAAATTTATTTATTCAATCTCTTAAAACACTCTTATATGGCCAGTATAGGTAGAAAAAAAAATTAATGAATTAGAAATCATGCTACTGGTAATTACAGCGAATGTCACTGAAAATCTCCAGTGACTTTTGTGGAGAAAGCATTTTCACAGGGTACTGCAATTCAACAGTGTATTAATGTGCTGGCCCATGGTTATGTAATAACAGGTTATGCCTATTGTTCATTAGTTACAGGAAAAGGCTTCTTAAGTGTAATTAGCCTAAATGGGAATTGACTGCACATTTCCAAAGAATTACCCCATAGATAACCAGTAACTCCTTTGCTTGATTTTCATTTGTAAGAATTTTGCAAGAAACAGAATATTGCCACCTATTCTAGAACAGACATCTCCACCTGTGCACAAAAGATTACAAAATGACAGTATCTATCCTGGTTGTGCTTTCAGATTCCCCCTATCTCTTTTCTGATGGCAGGTCTGATTAATAAAAAGGTAATACATGTTGCACATTACACACATGACAACAAAAACATGTAAATTCAGCTGCCTGAGGGTGCAGAGCACAGGTATTAAGCACAGAGGAAAATACAGAATTGCTTGCTCACATTAGGTATTTATAGACTAACACCAAAGTCAGTGTTTGCTTTGTATAAGCACTGAAATTTCTCCCAAAAACCCCACTGATCTCAGTGCAGAAGTGTCTCTGGAATCCCAAACAAGGATCCTGGGCAAGATGCTGGAATATTAAGCATTTCTGAAATCATTGAAGCCACTTTGAAGCCACAGAGTAGTCCTGGTGCACAAACATTTAATGGGGGGGAAATCACGTGTATATCCTTTCCTTACCCCCTTCTAGAAAACTCATGTTTTCAAAAAAATCAGAAAGCCAGAAGTAGAACCACTAACAACCTTTTTCCAGGTGTCTTACAAAGCCTGGTGACCAGAAGACAACAAACCTCAGCAATGCAGCGAGCAGCCCAGAGCACCTCATTTCTCTGCTCCTTACAGGACATTGGTGGGGAATAGAAGAGATTTGCTTATCTTGCATTGTCCCATTGTCAGCTGTAGTCACTGAAAGGAGCTAAATCTTTAGTCCTTCATACCATGCCTGTCCCAGCCTGCTCTGGACCCAAACCCCAGAGCACAACCCATTGCTTTTCAGGAGGCACTGGTTTGGGCCACCCACCCCAGGATGGGCAATGCTGAGTTTTAATGCTTCAGTTTGTATTCTCCCACAGAATTTTGATCTTAAATCTTCCAAAGCTAAGCTAAACTCTCACTTCTACATATCAGGCCACAGAGGTTTGGATCATTTTATCCTTTCTACCACAGGTTGTCCTTGACAAAGTGGCATGTGGGTATTTATGGAGAAAAACTGTGAGCCAAGGCATTTAGGAGTCAGAAAAGAGGGAAGCTTGTTCCACATACCAGTTCCTAGAGAATCACCAATAAAGATGTATATTGGCAGTCCTTGCTCTTGATTTCAATCTCCAAAATGGGAGAATCCATGTGCAATGGCTGGATGGAGCCCAAGAGGGGAAACCAGAGGGTGGCATACCCCAAAATGTTGTCAGTGAGGGAATCAAAGATGGGGACTTTGCCTTTCAAGCCAGGATGTCTTGTTCCAGTTCTGAGTCTGCAAGAAAAAACACATTGACCACACCAGTATAACTGGTATGGCAAGTGAAGTCTCATTCAGCTGTGGAACTGGACTGGGGCCTGGGGGCTTTTGGCACAAATGTGGATTTTTTCCTAACTCTTTTCGTGGGAATCATTATTCAAAAGATTTTTTTTATTTTTTTATTTTTTTTTTTGTGTGTGTGTGTGTTTTAATCCATATGTTGGCATACTGAGGTCATGTCTACTACAGGGCACAGGTAAGGTCAAAGACAGAATTACTACAGCCATGATTAGATAGGAAGTCCCAGCAATAGGAATGGAATCACACTGGGATATATTGAGAGCTGCTGTTGGTGGTGTTTTAAATAATGCAGAAATATCTCCTTGCCTGAAGTGTACAAGGGCACACTGCTCAGTTTCATGCTTTAGGAAGTAGATTTTTTTTGAGACATTTTTGAGCAATGAAACTTTGAAAAACATGTTATTTCATACAACACAGTAGAATCAGCAGCTTTTGAAAACTTCGTTTTCTGTCTTAAAGTTGGTAATTGCAACATTGTACTTTCATGACATGTAGGAACACTTAAACATATTGACACCAGAGAAAGTCAGTCAGACTTTTCCATTAACTATTCCAGAAACTCTTTGAAAAGCCATCCTATTCCCACACTAAACTGACTTCCTGGTGCAGAAAAATACCCATTTATCAGATCTGAACATGGGCAGACATTCCAGTGAAGCCGAAGCATTTGGAACAATTCGAGGCTGTCTCTGTATTTTTTATTTACTGGGAAGGAAGGTCTGGGTGCTGGAGTAGGAGGCGTTTGGGTGGATGGCTGTTGGGAACATGTTGGACTCAGCTGTGCTCCCGGGGAGATGTCAGCGCGTGAAACCAGCTCCTGAGAACAACAAATAGAAGTTCCCGTTTTGCAAACGGGAACAGCGCTCCGACACGACGCCTCTCCCCGGCACCAGAAATGCACTGACAGATTGCTTGGGGGAAGAGAGAGACAGAGAGAATAACGGAGAGCTGCATTGCTACCTTCCACAGGAAAGGACCATGGGATGCTCTCTAAGGATCTCCTCTTGGAAATGACCCAGCAGTCTCATCCTTGAGACAAAAATGTCTTTTCACCTCTTTTCACTCTGTTCTCAGAACACAATACGGGTTAGGATGTAAACTTTAGGGGAATTGATGTTTGCTGAATATTGGATAAGCCTCTGGGAGCTTCCAAAAGTTTAATGTTCAGTTATCTCAAAGGATATTAAGTTCTCTGACTGATCATGAGCCCTTCCATAATGTTGTTCTGGTGCCTTCCTCTCCATGTACGCGTCTCCTAGATGTGGGGCGGGCAAAAATTATGTCATGTACATCCCCAAATATAAGGATGGAATATATCATATTACTTCATTTGACTTCCCTCACTTTGATCATTTGTATGCTCTCAAGCATCATCAACTAGAACAACCAACATCTTCCAAATGTCCAGAAAATGCACAGCTCTGCCTTAACTCCAGTGCTGCTTAGGGATTCAGGCTGAGTGCTACAGCTGAGCTCTAGAAGATTTTGGTTCTCAGGAAGAAAGTAAAATACGGAAACAATTAAGATGTTTGCAATTGTATTTCTTCTATTATGCTTGTACAGTATCAAAAAAAGTTTAAGAGTGTCAGACTAATAATGTATGTATCTATTAAATTTTTCTTTTAATTATATGAAATGGGTGGTTCCATTGCTTTCATCTGTTTGGGTTCTCTTAAATGCAAGGTAAGTTTCCTATTATGCAAGAAAATGAGTTTACCAAGCAGACTGGGATTTCCAGGCACTGCTCCACTATAATTCACTGTAACTGAGCATTAATCATGATTAATAATCTATCATTCCTGTGGTTTAGGAAAATAAAAAGGAGTACTTTATTGAGAAACTGCCCTTTCTCTTAGCATACTTCATATAATTGCACAATGGAACAATTCTAGGGAATTCATTATTCTGCTGGTAATGATCTAGATTTCCTTAACATTGCACACGAATGGGAATCGTTGCCATCTGATGGATGTTCCATGGCCTGTACCAAATGAGTTGGTGGGTGCAAGCCAATTCATAATGGATGTGTGCCCATATCACAAAAAACACCATTATAATTGGTACCCTTAGGAAAAATGCCAAGGTCTGAGTGTAAACAGAGCACTTTCTGTCCCAAGAGCTCGCGCTTCCCTGGTCAGAGTTGAAGCACAACAGAATGAGCAATGCTGAACTGCATCTGCTGCCTCTGTAAAGGGCTTCGCTCTCCTGAGGTAGCACTTGGCATCTTGGACCCTCTTTAAAATAAGAAAAACCATTCTGAAGAGCCACACTTGTCCTTCTTCCCTCACCATCGCTAAAATCATCGTGGGGGTTGTGCAAGTATAAAATGTAGCAGAGACAGTCATTGCTACAGTCCATAATCTGTTCTCTAAGTGCATCCAGAAAAAAAACTATACTGTCACTAAATGAGAAGTGTTTGTTCACCAATCCTCATTTGAAATCTGAGAAATCTTCCTATCAGAAAATGCTGAAAGTCATTGACTTACCATCTCCTAGTGCTTTCCAGTGGGAGACAACATTTCAGTTGTGTTGAAGAGGGACCAGGGACTTCCAACAAAGTTCATAGTTCACTGCTTAAAAAATAAAGAGAGAAGAATGAAGATATCTCATGGACATTCTACTGATGGCCTGAAGGAACAGAGCAGTTTAAGCAGCAAATATTGGAAAAGTCTTCCTCTTTATTAGAGAATCCTGCAAATCAATCAGTCATTTGCATGCCCACACCAGAGTACATTGGAATGACCATGGTACAAAGAGAGGAAAAAAAGCCCCACCCTATCCAAATGCATGAAAAAATCACCATCAATGTCATTAAAATGCAGACTCAATTTATACTGCCAGTTTTGCCATGCTTCCTACAAAGTAAAAAATAATGCCAGAGAGCAGTGAGGAAAATATTATTAGATCAACTGTATAAAAAGCATGAATGATTCCATTAGCAAGCACAGCTGAGAAAAGACAGGATTTAAATCAAATCTAAATATGATAAGATTATACAGCCAAAGTGACATGTCCATTTTAGAAAACATACAGAAGAAACAAAACAAAAGCAGAATCTGGGTTTTATGCCATAAAACATGTTCCATCTCACACAACATTTAAAAACCTGATGCAAGTTTCCTGTCAGCTCCACAATTTTATACCGTATTTGTTCTAGGTGAGAAACAAATGTGCAGATAATTTAGAAGAACACCCTTTGTTCATCTCTCTTGCAGTATATTTGCATCATTCTTCCCTTCAGAGA